TTCTTAGCATAGTGCTGTTTTAATAATTTTAAAAAGGATTTTGAGTCTCAGTAGTCTTTTACTCCATGTAACTGGCACAGATGGAGTATTACTTAAGAAAGTAATTGCCTTCAATACCATTTTGAAAAGTTATGCCAAAACTATTCAATACTGAGAAATCCTGAACAGAGGTCTTTTGGAGATCTATACCCCCTAATCTATCATCATTGTCCATGTTACATTGTAACTTTAGACCAGAAGCTTTGCCAGAAAAGTTACATACTTGTATCATGTCATCTCAGAGCCATCCTCATGATCAAAGCACTTTGTTTCAGCTCAACAAAAATATATTAGGTCTGCACTTTATCATATACTCTGCTAGTTTATAGAAATATAGAAATTAACATGATGTTTTACTTGAGAAGCATAGAGTCTAATGAGTGAGATAGACATGTGAACAGAGAATTTCAATACAGTGTATAAAATACCTGTAGATGTATTGGAAGAAGGCCACTTAATACTACTTTGAGGATTCATGGAAGGCTTTGTGTAGAATGAAGCTGACCCTTAAAAGGTGACTATAACTTCACAAGTTGTAGGATGGGAGACTTAAATTTATAGTGCTTTATTATTTTTATTTTAGAAAAGTTGTAAAGGAATTACTTATAGAATTAAGAAATATAAAAAATTTTTAGATTATTTTACTAGTTTTCCCTACATGAAGTTCTGTATTAAGTTTGATAGTGATTTGGATTTATATTTCAACATGACAAGATTAAAGATTGTTGGGGGGGTTTTGTTTTTAACTTAGACAATTAAAAATAATAAACTTTAATGAAAGACATAGTTATTAAATGTACTCTCTATTATAGTTCCTGAACAGGGGCAGTGTTTACTGGCAGGTCTAGCTTATCCTATACCCAGTATTGAGATAACTGAGATATTCATTTAACAATTTGTAATACCTAACAAGTAAAAACAACTTCATTATCCATTCTTTCAACAAGTAGTTTTTGAGCATTTACCAAATGCCATGAACTTTTCTAGGCACTTAAGATACACCTGAGAAACAAAAGATGACAAAGTGTTCTCATCTTTTGTATTTTGGGGGTGAATTGGGGAAGACAACATAGTAAGTAGTTATTTAATATGTTAGTAGGTGACACGCTGTGGAAAATTAAAGCAGAGTAGTAAAGATGAAGAGTGATGATGTGAAGTAGTCAGTTTAATATGAGTGCAGAAGACAGTTTGGGGCTAGAGATAAGAGACTTGGGAGTTGTTAACTTGTACATGATATTTAAAATCATGAGACTAGATGAAATCACTAAGGTAGTATTAGATAGTGGTGCAGAGTACCCAGGACAGAATCCGGGTCCACTCTTAAGCTGGAAAGAAGAGGAAGAACTAGCAACAGAGGCTAAGAAATAAAAACCAAGTAAGGGTCCTGAAAGTCATACAAAGAAAGCATATCAAAGAGAAGGAGGAATTAACTTATGAAAAGGTATGATAGGCCAAGGAAGGGAAGAGTCAGATGCTGCTGCTATGTTGAGCCAAGAGGAGGACTGAGACCTGTTCACTAGATTTAGCAACATGGAAATTGTTGGTGACTTTTTATTTTTATTTTTTACAATAATAGCATTGGTTGAGTAATTGGAGCAGAAGCCTGCTTGAAGTGGTTTTAAGAGAAAATAAAGAGCATTTGGAGATATGAGGAATTGACAAGTGTTATAATTAGGGTGACTATATGACCACGTATTCCTGCGGCTCTCTTGGTATTCACAATTTGTGTCCCAGCATAATTTTTAATAGTGCCTCATTTCATTCTCAAATGGATCCTCATCAGAGTAATGAATTATGTGGTCATTGTCATTATTCTTTTATCACAGCCAAATTTTCCCAATGGTATCCCTTCAAAGGTAGTTTATGTGACTTTTTGAGAAAACCATTAGTCCTTCCTTTTCTGTTATAACAAAATATTGCAGGGCTTATACTTTTCCTGCCTTAGATCTTTTGTCAGCCATTTTTTTCTAAGAAGTTCTGTCTCATTTTAGTGGTATCTAGCAAGCAAGAGTTGAAATTTGGATAGATTTTGATGGGGGTTTGGGGGTGTATGAAGTGGGAAAGGTAGGTGTCCAATTAGAGAAAGACATTTCACAGATAAAAAATTTTAAAGCATACAGTTTACCAAAGATACTGAGGTGGGAGAATAGAAAATTTATTCATGGGATTCTATGTAAAACTGAATGGATGGCACATGAAACCCTAGAAGAAGTGCATTATAATAATAGAGCAGCAGAAGGAAAGATGCATTGAGGCCAGGTAATGAAAGGATTTGAACTTCAGGCCGAAGGTCTTTGATTTCGTTCTTTATTTAGGACAGTGACATATAATGGGCTTTGGAGTTACTGGTCCTGATGGGAGGAAAACTAGGTAGGCTATTGTAATCCACACAATCCGTAGTGGAGTCCTGAGCCTATGGGTAGGATAATGGTAATTCAAAGGAGGGGAACAAATTCAATAGACACCACAGCAGAGAAAGCAAAAGGGGGATGGGAGCATAACAGAAGCATGACGAAGGCCTGCAGAGTCAGATGTCTGAGCTGTCTAACCTGAGCAGCAAAGGCTGGAGATGCCATTAACTGCAATGGAGAACACAGGAATAGGTGAAGGAGGAAGACAAAGATACATTTTTTTTGGAAAAATTCCTTGGCAGTATGATGACAGAGTATAACCTATTGAAGTTCCATCTGGTAGAAGTGTATTTAAGAAACAGTAGAACAGGATTTAGGAAATAAGGTTTTTATTGTCACTGAAGGAAAACCATAATAAGATTCCCATCTGTGGAAAAGCATGAAGATTTGGATGTCCATAGCTCTCTCACAAGCTATTTCAGATTTTTTATTTCAAAGAAATGCATTTCTTGCCTCATTTTTAAATAGACACCCCCCCC